GGGGGGCTAGGGAAGGGTAAGTGGAAGGAGGTGAGGGAGGAACGGCGTACGAGCCCCCAATGGGGAGGACTGGGATGGCTCTGCGGGCTTCTGGGGGTGGAAGCTCTCCTGCAGCCCCCCAATTGCCCCCTCTCCCCAGATGGCAGCCTGCGGCAAGTGCAGCCGGTCTGATGGCCGAGTGCTGTGATGTGCCCAGTGTGGGCACTCAGGGCACTCCAAGACAGGACCGCTTTGCAAGCAGGGCACCCCTGAGAACTGTCTGTCCGGGGGGTGGGGGTCGGGTCCCTTTAAGCACAGCCCTTGGCTAGCCTGAGGCAGCAGCTCCACGCTCTAAGTCCTCATCTGATGCCCTGTCGGCACTTCTTCCGGCCATCCTTAACCCCGGTTCAGGGTCCACTTAATGTGGACATGCTAGTTTGAATTAGCAAAACGCTAATTCGAACTAGTTTTTTAGTCTGGATGCGTTAGTTCGAATTAGCTTAGTTCGAATTAACTAATTCGAACTAAGTTAGTTGGAATTATCGCTGTAGTGTAGACATACCCTAACTTTCTTAAAATTCATATAGCTGCTTGATTTAGAATAAAGTGGCATTCACCAGGGGTGCAGACTGCCTTGTTCATTCTGATTAATTCCTGCTTAGAGTAGGGATGTTAACAGGTCATTGGTTAACGGTTACCTGATAAGCATCACATTTGGTGGGTGATGCTTATCAGGTGACAATTAACTGGCATCTGGGGAGCAGCCTCCCTTCTGTAGCCTGCTGTGGGCATAGGGCTGCTTCAGCTCCATTGAGCCCCCAACATGGGCTGGGAGGCAGTAGCCCTGTGCAGAACTGCAATGGGTCTGATGGCCCTACACTGGGCTGCTGCTTGCACTCTGGCATGGGGCTGGAAACACCTGGGCTGGAGCAGCCCATGTGCACAGCAGGGAGCTCTTCACCCACCCCCATTTTATCAGCTAACCAGTTAACCTTTAGCTAGTTAACTAATGAAACGGGATTTTACATCCCTCATTTGGAGGCATCACTGTCCAGTGGATAGTGAAGTGTCTGAGGAATCAGGCAACCTGGGTTCTACTCCTGGGTCTGCCACTGATTCACTAAGTGAAAGCAGTTCACCTCAGGCCACAGGTTGCCCACCACTGATTTAGACTCTTTTGGGCAGGGACAGTCACTAATTATATTTGTATATCACCTATAGCACAACGAGGCTCAAAATTCAGCTAAGGCCTCTGGATGCTACTGTAATACAAACAAACAGCAACATTGGCAAGTTTTCTTTGGTCAGCATGTTGCCATTCCTACCAGTCAGTCACCACATTAACCATCTATATTGTCTGGTGCAGTTTTAGTTCTTTTTAGGAAATGAAACATTTCTGAGTCTTCTGTCCTGCCATCCTTGTGAGTCCACACAGGCAATCTCAGGTTCACTGGTAACCCAAATGGCAGCAGAAGTTTACATTGATTGGGCCTCCACAGCATTACTATATGGACAGTTTGGCCTCTGGAATGTCACCCTTCATGCTTTACACCAGTGGTGGGAAACCTGTCGCCTGAGGGCTACACGCAGCCCACGGGGTTTTATGTGTGGACTAGGAAACATTTTGTTTACCATTGCCCAAGTACAGAGCTGCCAGAGTCTGCTAGTTTTCATCTGCACAGGTTTTTTTTCCTACTGGTATTATAAAAGTGACACACACTTAAAGCAAGGGCACATGAAGTGAGGTGCATGCTGATTGTACATTGACTTGAACATTGTAACATTGACTTTGAGAGCTGTGCGCTCCTATGCATCCAAAGTGCTGCTGTGGTTTAATTCACGTACCCTATAAAGTCTAGGTATGCAAGCACTGTTAGCAAAACTACCTTATCCCAGTAGACCGTCTTGCTTACAACAATCTTGCAGCCCACTGAGATGAATGAGGACCACTCATGTGGCCCACTCGCTACCCTTGGTTGCCCCTCACTGCTCTATACAGATCTTCTCCTCAGGAAGCAAAGAGGGGTTCTTCAGAGAAGTACTGGTGCACAGCCAAACAGAATCTGGCAGAATGTATATGAAGAACTGCATTGGCATCCAGACCCAACATTTGCTAGTTCTCTAAACCAATATGATACAAATTAGTTTATTTCCACAATGCAAAAATATCTTTGTTCTTAAGACTAACTTAGTTGCACTTATCCTGAATTCTTTACCAATATCTCATTTTACTTCTGCCTCCTGAACATTGTTTCTTGAATTTACAGATGACTTCGTGTTAAACAGAGATTATGCAAAAGGAGAGCTGAAATAAGAGAAGTTGTTTCAGTATTAACAGGGTACTTCCAAAACAGTTACATTCTCAGTTAACTTCAATAAAGTGTGAGTAGAAAAAACCACATTCATCCTATTTTCAATAGCTTCAAAATCTTTCATAAACCTGTATAAAAATACAAATTCTATGTGTATGTAATAGAATAAGTCTTATTTTAAAAAATGAATAGTCTAATAGCACCTTAAAGACTAACAAAATATGTAGATGGTATCATGAGCTTTCATGGGCACAACCCACTTCTTCAGATGACTGGAGTATTAAAAGTCCAGATCCAAGAATAAATAAGGGGTTAGGGGGAAGGAGGAAAAAAAAGAGAAAAGAAAAAAAAAGGAGACAACTTTGCTCACACATCTACACAAGCGATTTTATCACTGGACCCAACAATATCAGCCACTATATCAGGGGCTCATTTAACTGCTCATCCACTAATGTGATCTATGCCATCAAATGCCAGCAATGCTCCACTGCCATGTATTTTGGCCAAACTGGACAGTCTCTATGGGAAAGAATTAATGGACACAAATCATGTATCCAAAAAGGCAACACACAGAAACCAGTTGCAGAACACTTTATTCTGCTTGGACACTCATTAATGGATCTCCAAGTCACCCTGTTGTTTCAGGCCAATTCCACAAGCCAAATACACAGGGAAGAGTTGGAACTCAACTTCATTTACAAGTTTAATTCTTATGCGAATTGCATGAACAGTGACATTGGCTGGCTCACACACTACCTTCCACATCCTAATGATGTAACCAACCAAACAATGGGGGTGCTAGTTGTTCTCATCAGCCTCTTGTAACTACTTAGACAATTATTTTTATCTAAACAAACTCTCAATTTTTATTCTTTTCATTCTTTTTTTTTCACCTCTCCCCTCTCCCTTCCCTTATTTATTCTGGGATCTGGACTGCTAATACTTCAGTCATCTGTGCCCATGAAAGCTCATGATACCATCTACATATTTTGTTAGTCTTTAAGGCGTTACTAGACTATTTGTTGTTTTTTAAGTTTCTCCTGTTACAGACTAACTTGGCTACCCATCTGAAGTTAGTCTTATGCTATGGGATATGTCCAATTCCTGATATATTAATATGGTCCAATCCAAAGCAACTAACAAGTGTCTTTCCAATGATTTCATTAGGCATTGCATAAGGCCAATACTGTTCTTATAGGGGAAGAGAAGAATAATTGAATCCACTATTACAGGCATGTAGCCCATCAGGGTTCAAGGAGGGGCTCTTCCCCTTCTGGGGCAGTGGGCGGTCATTCTGCCTCACTACAATGAGTCCCTGTAGTCCTTGGTCTCAGGCCTGTGATCTGAGTAAGTCAACAGTCAATGCTCTATTGAGCCCTGGCCCGGTCTCAGGCCTGTGATCTGAGTAAGTCAAGTCAATGCTCTATTGAGCCCTGGGTTGGGGCAGGACAGTAAACAGCAGTCACCATAGTCTAAAGGCCCATGCCCTGGGACAGAGGGAGTGACACACACACAGGTAAGAGTCTGTGCTCAGGCTCTGGTTCATGGTGGGGTGGCAAACACACAGAGAGGCTCAGGCCCTAGGGCCAGGCAGGGCAGCAAACAAACCCAGTTAGAGCAGCCCAGGCCTTGGTGCCAGGTGGGGCAACAAACACACAGTTAGTAGTTCAAAGTGGAGCAGACTTTGTTCCGGTGGAGATCCAGCATGGGCTGGCAATTGGCCTAGAGTAGCAGAGGGGGGAAAGTAGCGGGGGGGGGGGACACAGGCCCATCCACTCCATTGGGTCCCAGCCCGGGGCCCTAATAGCAGTGGATCAGCCTGCTTCTGGATCAGCGGGGATCTTCACTGCATCACGCCGACTGACACTCTAGATCGGCCAGACTACTGTCAGCTTTCCCTGAGCTCCTTCCATTCTCCCCCCCTGCACATACCTGGTTCTCCAGCAGGTCCTCTAAGGCATTGGGGGTTGACAGATCAGGCAGGGGTTGAAGTTCCTCCCAGTCAAAGTCCATCTGGGGTCCCGGTGTTCCAGGTCAGTCCTTTTCCTCCTGCAAGCCCTCTGCAGCCTCTCAGCTCAGGAGCACAGGGCAAGCGTCCCGTTCCTCTGGTGGCTGCAGCCTGACTGAGCTCCTGGGCTGGATTGTTATACAAGTAACCACACCTGACTTCTGGTCAGGTGAGTGTGTGTGTGTGGGGGGAGGGGGGCAGGGTATGCCCAAGAGGGCTCACAGAGGGGCTCTTCCCCCTCCAGGTCAGTGGGTAGCCTCTCCACCTCACTACAAGGCATGGAGGGTGGGGAACCCCGATGGGCCAGTGTCTATTCTGATCTAATCCCGCGGCCCATCGGGGACATCAGTTGGCAGCTCCTTCATGGAGCCGTGAGCACGGGCGTGTACTTGGCGCGGTTTACCCCAATCCCAGACACCTGCCCCTTTTGCGGCGTGAGGGAGAACCTGGCACACGTTTATCTGGAATGCGCCAGGTTGCAGCCCCTATTCCGGCTCCTCCAGAACCTCCTATTGAGGTTCTGGCTGCACTTTTCCCCTCACCTTTTCATTTATGCACACCCTATCTGTGGCCCCACAAAGTCGCGAGACCTCCTCGTCAACCTACTCCTGGCTCTAGCGAAAGCCGCTATTTACAACACCAGGAATAGGATGTTGGACGGGGGGGAAGGGGTTCTCTGCGACTGTGGGGCCTATTTCCATTCCTCCCTAGCTTCACATATCCGGGCAGAGTTCCTCTGGGCGGCGTCCACTGGCTCCATCGACAGCTTTGAGGAGCTGTCCGGGGTTCTCTGCTCGGTGTCCCCTTTTGGTTCCCTTAGTTTAAACCTGTGACCCGCACTCCTGGCCCCTTTTGCCATTATTTGTCCCCAGGAATTAGTTGAAAGTGGGTCCAGCTGTCCCTCCCGAAAGGCTGGGATGGGGCTTTTAGAACGTGGGCGGGCTTTGCCCGCCCACCTTCCTATGATTTCAAATAGGACCTCACTACAAGGCAGAACAAACCAGTGGCATACATTAGCATTTCCTACATAGTCCATATATCTTCTGAGTTTTGTTGCCACATGTGTCTTCTGGTCATTAGCATTTCCTACATAGTCCATATATCTCCTGAGTTTTGTTGCCACGTGTATCTTCTGGCTTTACCTCCTCCACACTATACCATATTGTATCAACCAAGGAGAGAACCACTACAAGTAACTTTTAGGTTTTTTTTAATCTTGGACTTATAAAAGTATAGCATTATGTTCCAAACTAGATCTATCATTTCAGTGTGTTGAGAACTGAAAATCCTCAGAAGCTGCACATGATTAAATAGTCACATCACTTTGCAAATTGATTAATTTCTGCTTAAAGAGATGCCAGTAATACTGGGGCATGCAGAGCAGTTCAAGAATTGCTTTGTTAATGCAATGCTAATAGAGTATGTCCCTGAGAGAACATTCTCCACTGGGGGATTTGAACTCCCATCTGCATAAACAATGTGCACTTTGCAGCAAAGATTTATTTTACATTTCAGAAGACCCGATTGATTATCTAAGTACAAACTTATGAGATAAATAGGAAACAAATGCAAGGAACACAGGATGAGTGAAAGCATATTTTGTCCTATCGAATGGGTGAAAAAAGGGTATATTTAGGATATATTTAAACATCAGTTTGTTTCTGATATTAAATTTCAACAACAGACTACAGTCTTGGGCTTAGCACACCTTTTATGCTCTATTTTAATAGTGGGACCAATGCCCAGAAACACAAGACTTGTCATTTCCTAAACTATAAAAATGTAATTGGGAGTGGGCTGAGCTAGCTCCAATGGGATATAAAACAGCCATATAAAGACAAAGAAAGTCTATTGTAATCACTAATGGAGAGCTGGAGTTCAGCGTGCAATAAGACTATTAACTGAGCGTACGTGCCGTTATTTTTCAAAAGAAGGCTCTAGAAAAAACTGGAATCTATTTATTCTGGCTTCAAGAAATTTTTGTTGTTGCTGACTACATAAGCTATTTCAGATCCTACCACAAACCAGAATTAACTTCATTCTCATCTGTACTTTATCATTCATTCCAGATCTCTGTCTCTGAACTAGTTATAGTTTACAGCAAAGAGTAATTTTTTGAAGCAAGATTTAGTATCAATAATGTTTTCTGATTGTACAGGAATCAGTAGTGGACTTTCCATTGTCTAAGTACAGGCAGTCCCCGGGTTACGTACAAGTTAGGGACTATAGGTTTGTTCTTAAGTTGAATTTGTATGTAAGTCGGAACTGGCTCCAGATTCAGCCACTGCTGCTGAAACTGACCAGCGGCTGACTAC